TGCTATGGTGTAACTAAATTATCAGATGGCAATTATTCATGGTTGAATTTGTATTCTTGATGGAAGTTTAAGGGATTATTTTAGGTCTTTGGATCCAAATTTTGACACCATCATCGGATCATTTTTTACGAAACTCACTTGCTTTGTGTTATATGTAAATGTACAGCACGCATTAAGTCGGCGCTCGATATAGTGTAGTTTTGGCTGGTACAAATTTGGAAACTAACTTCAGAAAAATTGAATTTGATTGGATATTAACGCAGATAGTTTCTAAATTTGTACTAGTTACACAACGAAATTTCAACACTGGGCCTACAGCTCTTATCTTGGCTGAAAAGAATTAGAAAATGAGTTTTTATTAATTGATGTTCGGTCAAGTTTACATGTGATGAAAACATAAATAAATAAAATAATACAAATCAAAGCTCGTTACAATGACCCCTTGGTTGCCAAAATTTTGTTCACTGTAACAAAAATCTCTTTTTAGTTAACATATTATGTAATTTAATGTAAAGTTCATTGTAATGAGAGTTTTTTTTTAATTATAATTTTATTTATTTAAATCATTAAATCATAACGATATTAGGAAATTTTTTTGATACAATTCTAAAATCACTTATTGGAGAGTTGAGTAAGTTTTATATAAAAAATTAAAAACTTATATACAAGTGTTTTCCTGATCCCAGCTGGCTAAACAAGCCATTAAACTCCTTAGCCAGATGACATCACTATTAAAATCATGCAATTATTGTTAGAATAAGACAAATTATGATCAATGACATGTGATTTTTCCACTATAACGAATTTATTTCTATTATGCGTTCAATATAAAAAATTTTCAATGTTCACTCTACATTACAGAGATTTTTTATTATGATGTTCACTGTAACGAGCAAAATTTATTATAGTGTGAACTGGGATGTGAAAAAAAGTTCACTATAAGCCATTTCCACTGTAATGAGATTCATTGTAATGACTGTATAATAGATATTTGTAAAAATAATCAAATTAATCTAAAGGTATAATCTAAATATTTATATCCAATACGAATAATTATAAAATAATAATTCTACAATTCGGAATTTTTGTTTGCCAGATTTGACAAGGTGACATGATGTTATTTCAATAAATATGATTGTTATCCAATAAATTCACGTTTCAAGCTATATTCTAAATTATCAAATATATCCAATTACCTTGTTCCAAAGTATCCAAACTTCTAGAAATCTATGTTTATTAAAGCAGCGATGATGAGCACACAAATCGCATCCGTTAGTGTATTGTAAAAGTAGAATGGTAAATGATGAAATTGCTAATTCTTGTGTGTCAAATGTCATTAGTATAACAAAAGGTCATTATTACTCTTACAAACTCAACTCTTTATCATTGCTTGTTACACCCCGCAGGACCCGAATATAATAAAAGATTATTTAAATTTTACATTCATATAAACTTTTGATTTTTTCATCAAAAATTAAAATATTTCGTATTTCATGAATATTATCTCAAACCAAATTATATATATAATATTACTTGGATCATTACGAGAGAATAATATGCATTCATCATTTACTACACTATTTAAAAGCATAGGAATTTATATCAAGATTAATTAATGAACTATCACAAAGTTCTGAGTATTGTGATTTAATAATTTCATTATTCAAACTTCTACTTTTATGAAATACACCTGGATGTGGTTTGTATGAATTAATTATATCACTACTATTATTATTACTGTTACAATTATTTAAACTTTCATTTTTATAAATGTTCCTTAATTTATTATTTGCAAAAGTATGAAGTATTCCAATAGTTGGTCTTTTAGATGGATCTTTATCCCAACACTTCAGCATCATTTGTACATAGTAATCAGGCATTCCTGGTAATATTGGTGGTCGTAAACCTGCACATATGTTGAACATTAAGTCAAGATTATGAGCTCTATCATCAAATGGTGGATGGCCTGCAAATATTTCCCACATTAACATTCCAATGCTATAAATATCTGTTTCTTTGCTGTATTTATTTCCTCTAAATAGTTCAGGTGCAATATATGGTACAATCCCATAGATTTTATTTGATGATTTTCCATCAACTGGTCCACACAATCCTAAATCTGTAATATAGCAACCACCTCCTTGGAATAATATATTGCCACTATGTAGATCACAATGTATTAAATCTTTTTCATGTATATGATATAATGATTCACATAAATATCTAAAGATCATAATTCTATTTTTTAATGTTAATTTTGAATGATTTTTTTGTAAATATTCTCTTAAATTTCCTTCTAGCACATAATTAAAAACCATTGCATAATTTCCATTATTTGGGAATTTAGTTATACCAAAACAAGGAATAATCATTCCTGATTTAATTTTACAATAATTCATTGCCTGAAAATAAACATAAAATCAATTAATGCTATATATTCATAATATAGTAAAAACACTTGCCGTAAATAATTGGGCTGGTAGCTAACCATTGCCGCAAATAGCTGTTGGTAGCTATCATTGCCGCAAATAGCTACCATTTGCTGTAAATAGATACAATTGCTGCAAATAGATGCAGTGCCATAAATAACCAATTACGGAAAGTGTCTTTGTTATTTATTTTGCTACAAGTAAAATAAAATCAATTACCTCATTAAAAAATGCATTTGTTGGATTACTTGAATTATTTAAACTTTTTAATACTACATTGTGCCTTCCAAAATAGTCAAAAAAATTTTTATTTTCATTGTAATCAATTATATAACCCCTTGTCCACACTGCAGTATAAATCAAACTAAATCCACCTTCAGTTAATTTTGTAACATTTTGAAATTGATCAAAAGGTATCCATTCCAAAATATGAGTTGGCAAAGATGAGAGAATTTGACATTGCTGAATAAATTTATCAACTATGACATTACCAGATGTCCAAGTGTCAAAAAGACTCTGTAATTGTAAACTAATACAACCTTCACAGAATCTATCAGAGTATTTTGTTGATTTACATTTGTTGCATTTTTTTGGTTCTCCCAGCTTATAAGCTGCATTATTTAATTCTAAATCATAAATGTATTTTTTTTTACAATATTTTTTTTCTTTTTTAAAAAGTCCATTGTTTTTTTTAACTAAAGAAGAAAAATAATCTATTCTACTTTTTCTATCTTTATTATGTGTATTTTTTAAAGCAGCATTATTAGACATTTCTCTATAATTTTTAATTACAAATTCCCTCCTTTCGGGTGATAATTTATTAAATGACATTTTTAACTTTACTTAATATCTTTTAAAAAACCTTTTATTTTATTTGAAAAATTTAATTTAATTATTTCTATCAATAACGAAAAAGAATTCAAGCTTTTATGCATAAAATTTCTTAGGTAATTGCAATCCTAATCGGGTAGTATAACATATTTTTAATATCAATATTAGTATTAGTAATAGGATCCACGTTGGTGATACATATTAATAGAATAATAATTATTTATAGCACCAGGACCGGAGAATCTCTATTGTACGTGGCCGCAAAATTAAATAACAAAACATTAATGCGAGTCAATTTTTTATAATTATGCGCGTTTAAATTATAGGATTAATTGATATTAGAGTAAAAAATGTATTTCCAAATGAAAAATACTGTTATTATTATGATAAACCTTAATAGAAATATATCTAAAAAAACCCATCGGCTTTTATACACATGCATGTCGTTGTTTTCATAAAACGTGATTATTTTACCCAAACACAAGATTTTATTGGGAATGTATACACAAATATAAAAGTAAATTTTTTTATTAATATACAATAAAAATGCTTCTATATATTATTATTATTATTACTATATTTGCGAATCAATGTAACACGAGACGGAGTTCAAATAACGGATTTAACAATAATAATAATACAGTGCGGATCATCTATACTCAAAAGTTAAAATTTTTGAAATATTATGTGATCCACACATTGGATTTTTAAAAA